AACTAGTGGACGTATCAATCTGTGGTGGACGTATCTAGCGGTGGTTGACGTATGTAACTGGGATATGACGTATATATCTATCTTTTGATGTATGTAACTGTGGTGGACATATGTAACTGGTGGACGTATCTAGCGGTGGTTGACGTATGTAACTGTGATATGACGTATATATCTAAGTTTGGATGTATGTAACTGTGGTGGACATATGTAACTGGTGGACGTATCTATCTATGGTGGACATATCTACCATTGGTTGACGTATGTAACTGTGGTATGACGTATATATCTATCTTTGGATGTATGTAACTGTGGTGGAAGTATGTAACTGTGATATGACGTATATATCTATCTATGATGGACGTATCTAGCGGTGGTTGACGTATGTAACTGTGATATGACGTACATATCTATCTTTGGATGTATGTATCTGTGGTGGACATATGTAACTGGTGGACGTATCTATCTGTGATGGACGTATCTAGCGGTGGTTGACGTATGTAAGTGTGATATGACGTATGTATCTAGCTGTGATGGACGTATGAGGGATGAGGTGAGGTGAAATGGGTTTTAACGTCGCGTCCAAGATCATTGCACTTATGTAGCGACGTGCATGCACGTGTGTGTGGCTGCTTTGTACTAGTCCGGACTGATGCCGATTTATAGTGCTTCCCCACTGAGATACCATGCCGTAGTTTAACATGAATATCCCACTCAGACACAGTATACTGACTCCGAACCAACCACTCCTTGTTTTAGCCCATTCATGCCGAGCGCCAGACAGGGTAACAACAATTACCATCTGTTAGCGTCTTTTGGTATGACGCGGCTGGGGATCGAACCTCGGACGTTCCGCTCTCCGGGCGGGCGCTCTACCACAAGACATCGGAGGCGGTCGATGGACATATGTCACTGTGGTGGACAACAAAAGTCCCCGAATGCATCCAGAAACGTCATATCACGTCTATAAACGTCCCCCAATATATCCGGAAACGTCATATTACGTCAACAAAAGTCCCCGAATAGATCCAGAAACGGGTCTACAAAGTCTCCCAATACATCCTGAAATGCCACATTACCTCTACAAAAGTCGTTCAATTTATCCAGAAACGCCACATCACATATTCAAAACTTTCCGAGAGCATCATAGACGTCATATAACATCCCAATACATCCAGAAGCGCCATGTCACGTCAAAATAGTCTCCCAATACACCAAGAAACGCTATATCACACTTATAACAGTCCCCGAATGCCCCCAGAAACGTCATATCGCGTCCACAAAAGTCCCCCAATATATCCAGAAACGCCACTTCACGTCATATAAAAGTCCCCCAATACAGCTAGATACGTCTAATGACGTCTACAAAAGTCCCCGAATTCACCCAAAACATCATATTACGTCTACAAAAGTCCCCAGAAACGCAACATCACGTCTACAAAAGTACATCTAGAAACGCAATATTACGTCTCCAAAAGTCCTCCAATACATCTAGAAACGCCACATTACGTCTATCAAAAAATGCACGTCTACGTCCGTCATCCAGAAACGTTATAGCACGACTACAAAAGTCTCAGAATACACCCAGAAACGTCATATCACGTCTATAGCAGTCCCTGAAAGCATTCAGAAACGTCATATCACGTCAACAGAAGTCCCATAAAGCATCCAGAAACATCATATCACGTCTACAAAAGTCCCCGAAAGGATCCAGCAACGTCATATCACGTCGACAAAAGTCCCCCAGGCAACCATAAACCTTTCATAGTCAGGATGAATTGGCACAGAGAAAACACAAAGAAAGCCACCAAGAACCAAAGTGTGGCTCTGGCGTATTGCCGATGTTCTCGGAAGGCATAATTCTCGGAAGGCAGGAACTCGGGAGGGACTGCAGGCACAATCCACTAGTGCCAATAAGTGATGTCCTCCTAACAAGCGCAGTACTCATGTGTAATGACGAAGAGAGCAGCTGTGTTGATGGTACTAATTTGTCAACATGTTGACATGTGTATCGACAAAACATGCGTAGAAAATATGCATGCACATATGTTTGCAAGCAAAAAATATATATCCTGTTTAGTAAGTGGTTTGTTTGTTCCCCAGCGCGCAATTTGTGTGGATATGTTTTGAATGCTTTGCGGCTACCGAGAGAGCCGAAGAACATTTTCCTGGTTGTTGCATTATTGATGTCGATTGTGCCCTTTCACATATCCGCTAGACTTCAAATAAAGAAGAAACGTCGAAGAGAAGAGAAAAATTAATAAATAAATAAATACGAAAAATTGTAGAAGTAACCAATTTGAGGTAATGAGCAACCGCTTGAGTGTACAGGGGAAATATCAAAGACGCCGACAGCCAGGTGTAGTTTAGATTGACAGGTGATATTCTCATCGACGTGTACAACAGGCCAATCAACAGCAATCACCAAGAAGACATGTCGATAACATTTCATTATCAGATAAACGAATAAATGATCGATTTAAACTCAGTTACTAACAATATGATAACATATGCTTAATGTGGTATAACATTATATAATAACAGTCTTCCTTGTCCATATATGTTTGATATATATTCATATAGAAACATACCAATTCTGAGCATAGAATTTGAAATATACATCCTCCTGCTGAAACAAGACAGATGTTTGTAAGTGACCATTGCAAAGCATTGCTTAATCAACTGTGAAATCATACACACTTAAACGCTGTCAATACACTGAATAAACATAATGTTATGTATCCATAATTCTAAATACTTATGTCAACAGAATGTCGTCATTATTCCTATTATCTGTACAGTTCAATGGACGATCATTTTCACCAGACTACCATTGTGTAAACAAAGGTGAAACGTGCATAAGGCTCGTGATTGATAGCTCGCTTTACTAAAAGCTATATATGACACCACTTTGAAATTGACAACGTTTTCAAGCTATGAAGTGTTCAGTCATACACAGGATACTTTATATTACAACGAATGAATACCGATCTAGGTACTAAGTCTGCCCGTATACACCACAGGGATATATACTGAAATAAGTTTTAAACGGGTATTGTTTGGTAGAACTATTGTGACGATGATGTAGGTTCATGTGTCTGATGTCATACGGAAATAAGTTTTAAATGGGTACTGTTGGGTAGAACTATTGTGACGATGATGTAGGTTCATGTGTCTGATGTCATACGGAAATAAGTTTTAAACGGGTATTGTTTGGTAGAACTATTGTGACGATGATGTAGGTTCATGTGTCTGATGTCATACGGAAATAGGTTTTAAACGGGTATTGTTTGGTAGAACTATTGTGACGATGATGTAGGTTCATGTGTCTGATGCCATACGGAAATAAGTTTTAAATGGGTACTGTTGGGTAGAACTATTGTGACGATGATGCTATGATTTATTGGTACTTATCTAAAGCAATTGCCTATTTCAAATGTTCATTAACATTTTGCAAATTGTCCTCCATGCGCAAATACATCGTATGATGGTGTGAAATGTTCAATATATCAGAGCAATTGATGAGTGTTAATGGGGATGTTTTGCGTCACAGTCAACACCATCAGCTCAGTTCATGAAAATATATCATTTGTCATGAATATGCTGGGTACTGTCAATTACCAACAGGAGAAAAAGGAATGTCTAGGAAGAACTTCAGCCCAAAAAATCAATTTGAATAAAAAAGTCAAGCCGTTTTTTCTCTCCCTCTACTGAACGCGGGAGTTTTGCGTGCCACAATGGAATAAATAAATAGTTCAGCTGAGATTATTTTAAAAGATTTCCATCACATGTTTTTTTTCGTAAATGGATCTGGTGATTGAGGAGTGTGTCAAATCGAGAAGTGAGTTGGTCCCAAAAAGCTTTACGAAAAATCGAGTAATGAAAACAAAACGTAAATCAAAGGCTGCAACAAGGTTTTAACACACTCACTGTGCCGCAAATGTAGCATCGAAATAAAATGGCTATTTTATGTTCACTCCTGCGGCTCTGCCTAAAAAATCTCTTTAAAAACACAACCATCTGATGTAGACTATTTAGATTACAGCTTTTATGGTGTTTTAGGTTGTCAAACAAATACAGCAGGCTTCTCTCACACTTACAGCAAAAATAACGCTTTTCTCGAAATCCATCTGCGCTGGCAAGAAGGATGCGTAGAAATTTGAGAAGTTTCCATTTGAAACAAGTATTTAGTAAATTTCCAGCAATTACTCGAGGCGAGCAGTCTTTAGGCCACCGTGGACGCTAGCTTTCCATTTTCTCAATTTCACAAACCCACCAGGGAGCGATTTCAAAAATGAACACTATCTACACAGCAAAGCAAAGCATGAACAAGACAAGAGATGATTACATAAATCTGAGACACACGCTTTAGAACCACCCCTCTCACTAATCTACGTTTAGGCTTAGTAGTCAGTTGTAATTTCTGTTAATTTCTACGACCGAGGACGGATCAAGTTTAGTCAAATAGCCCAGTCTGGCGTTCGTCAGAATATCTTAGTTTTATTGAGAACTGACAAACGTTCATTAAAGCTCCTTTCCGTCAGTTACAATGCCAGAACTTCGATAACATGCTCCTGAGATCGAGTTTGTCAGATTACACTCTTTATCTTGCTAAAATATGCCAGTCGCCGGTCGCGAGTCTATGATCTAAGCCGGTGTTCGAGGTTCCCTTGAAACTGTGCCGAGAGGCGCGTCGAAGGAAACCGCGGTATAAAACGGTGGGCTCAAGACAGTCCCACTCGCAGATACACACTCAATATAATTGTATGGACGAAAACTGAATCTTCCCCCTTCGTATCGGGTCTCAGTGACTAAATAATAAAGGCGAGCTCTCTAAACACGACAGGCGAGTTATTTATGTTTAGCTTCGCGTTAAGCTGATATCGTATTTTCTCGTTCCAGCTTCTTTGTTCTAACTTACAGATATCAAATAAACTTTACTGCTTCTAATACGAAAAGGCAATAATGAAGTAAAGTTTGTTACCTTCTATTGGAGGGTTGGTTCGTATTCGCGCTGCCACAGCTAAAATCAGTTGGCTTGGATATTTGGCTCCAACTGCTCGCGGCTCGACGAGTTTGACTGGGCCGTCTCGCACAGGTAAAGTCATATTATGTCGTGTTTTTTAATTGTAGCTGGCGCGAGGGTATCTCCTATTCATAGTGGTTCTTCGGTATCCGTTTTTAAGGCCATACCGTGCCATTGACTATTATAGAACCGCGAAATGTCAAACTGTGGATGTGAAAAATAAAACTTGATATATTTTTTTAGGTTTTGAATGATATGTATAAGTTGAAATTGAACCCTTCAGTGAGGTTGAAATCTACATTGACAAAACTGAAATCGACAAGCAGGTGGTTGGTCTTTCGTTATCGGAGACGCATTTAATTGAGAAGCCTCACAGTATTGTTGTTACTAGCTCCGAAACTGAATTATTCAAATGCATTAAAGTATGGGATCGATGATTTTGGAAGTCTTCCATGTGGTTGAAATTTGCAAGCGTTAAAAGTTTGCTTTGAAATATTAAACTTTTTGTACATTTCAAAGAAATCGGTTGATGTTGTGCAATGACACGTGTCAGGAGCTGCAATAAAGAGGGTTGTGATTTTTGAGCTAGTTAGTCAGAATTAATTGTTTCACCTATGTTTACTCTGTATACAACGTTAGTTACAGTAAGTGACAGTCACCTTCTTATACTACAACACTCATTTCAACTCCACATTAACGTTGAAGGTTTCAGTTGAAAAAAACTGATTGAACGAAACTGACAGCATATATCTGGCGCGACGATGAGATGTAAGATTAATAATTGATATATAGATGTTTGTACATGATAAACCGTTAATTCGTGCACGCTCTTGGTAGCTAAGTTATTGAACACATCTTAACACAAGGATTAGGACACTTGACATCCACATTTTAAAATATTGTCAATGCATTCACACTTACTTCCATTTTCAGTTCACTTAGATAGATCGTAACTATTGTTCGAAATTGTTTGTTATATGATCTTCTTTCATGGTCAAAATAAATAAGCCAAGATGGCAGAGGCAGTTTGCTCAGAAGAGATGCTTTAACATCACAGGTCAATTTAATCAGTGTTTGTATTGAAACCCTTATCAGAAAACTGCACGGAAATTGTGAATGGCGATTGTAAAGTGAGGGGCACAAGAAACTAACTGCAGCTGATTTCATCATATGTTTGCTGTTCAATTGAACATATCTTACGTTAGCGATATTATATCCACAAAATGAACTGTACTTGCGCTTAGTCTGCACTCAAAGAATGCTTCTACATTGATTCACTTACTAACCTAAAATTTAATTAAAAACATTTAAAACTGAATCAAATATCCACATTATACACAACTTCTGATGGGTATCTGAGACATATTATCTTTGAAAAACAATACTTTTGCTTTGTGGGCACAAATTTACAACATTTCAAACAGGGTAGGGGTTATGTGGTTGTAAATTCATTTTATATACCCCAGTCTTCATTGAACCAATTTATGTTTTTACACAAAATTACTGTTCCGTAGACTACATTTTGCAAACTGTTGCATGAATTAGCGGTGGTTAAATAAACATAATCGAATTAAACAACAGTTCTTTAAACTTTCAATTTCATAAAAAAAGCTCGGTATATTTCGTTTGCCCTTCAGTGTGTTTTGTGCTGATGTGTTTGTTTGCATGATCATCCCTGTCATTAAGTCCATTTTCAACAAAGTACTATTTTTTTTACAAAATCAATAAACTTATGGCGGTGATTATCACTGAGATTAACGTGTGTTGTCGATTTCAGCCATGTACATATCAACACTGAATCTCCGAGCTCATGCTTTCTATCCTTACTCATACGACACGTATAACAAATGACAGGTTTTCACAATTCACCTAAACACATATCTTTTACGTATCCATGCTAATTGATATATGCATTTGTGTGTAGTTTTTATATTTGTATCAAAATATATCACGATACATTTCTAACAATTTATAGTGTTCGCTACTGAAAATAACCTCTTGTAGCTTTCAAATGTTCAGGCAGATATATGGAATTCATTCTTTTATTTAGTAAAGATACATCTTCACACGCTTTAACATAGCCCATTCTCTCAAAGCCATAAATAACGCTATTTTAGTTTTGAATAAACTGAAAAGTTTTAAAAGTACTTCACAGAATCATATTCACGCTAACCAAGAGAAGTGGAAATAGCTCGCGTAATTAATTATGTGTAATGTCACACCATATGAAAAAAAATGTTGAAAGCAATCGACTATTTCATAAGTAATGTTCCAAACAGACGCACGTGGTCACACAATGAAATGTATTCAGTGAAATAGACACCTTGTCAATACTGCTGTCGAACTGTTCACACTTACGTGAGAAATAAAAACTTTGACAGGTTCCCCGTCTCCACTGCGTGTCGGCAAGTGCCCGCGTGGATACACTTGGTCAGCCGATGACCACTGTTGGAAGTAATTAGCACGTGTGTGTTGACCATGCGCACCGTACAGGCAGCTGGGGAATAATTTGGTTACAATGTTTCCCGAAATTGACAACGAAGAAACATGCTTTGCTGTATATATAATGGATTTCATTGAGAGACACGTATTTGACAGTGGGTAAAATGGTAATGCCAATAGTAAGAAAATAAACACATTAACAAGGCGAGATAGACATGCACATCAATTCCACATAACATTCGAGATTTGGTGCTTTTTTCTGCCTCTCATGATCAGTTCCTAGTTGTTTATCTCGTCACTGTCAATTGCATGTTAAACGAGGAAATTTACTAAAAAATGAAGGTCATCATCCAAAAGTACACTCTATAATATATTAATAATAATAAATTATCAACCACAAAACCAACATGAAGTAGTAATCATGTGTGGTAGAATATAATTTTCCATATAAATTCAATAAAGAAAAGACAATTTGTATGTTTTAAAATGTTAATGGGGAAAAACCTCTACGATTATTACACATACCCTATTACTCATTACATTGTCGATGACATACAACTAGTTTCCAAAACGTTTTCAACAATACACAAGACTATTTAATATAATCATAAATGTCGAAGTAATATACTTTAATAAAAGTGATTGTATATAAATTTTAATTTTTTTTTTGGCCCAGTGAATGTATTACTTCAATGCCAATAAAGTGTTTCCATCATATTAGTTTCACATATGATATTCAATTTGCATTAATTTAATCAACATTTGGATAATAGCATTACCAAATATCCTTTGATCGCGTGTACCCAGCAATGTCAACCTAATCAGCTACGAAATGTCAAAATTGACTCCACTGAATATGACTAAATCACCAATTTATACTAACTATCAAGTTCCAAAAGTCAACAACATGATTATAATATTTAAACATCCATAGTAACCGTTCCGAGTCGAGATAATTGTTCGATCTGTTAAAAGAAATCGGATAGTATGAAGGACTCATTATTTTTGTTTCTCAAACAGACGTGTATCGACTTTAACTAGGATGAACTTAGTCATATTTTGATGTAGGTGTCATCTTACTAACCCGAGGCCACACGATGCATAACGATCTATTCCCGGCCCAAACATAACCTGCCTTTTTCTTTTCATTATCGAGGATTAATAGGGTTATTACTCATAGTTTAACTAATTTCGTATTTACCAGCAGACAACAAACGAAGGAAACTTTTCACAATCAATTCAAAATAAGCCGTCACATCGTGACGTGATTTAATTGATGATGTGTACATTTCAGATGAACACATGAAATATACAACCTATGAAATATCTTTAATTTGATTGTTGTGTTTGTTTGTTGATATAGGTTCTACATAAGGCATGATACAAACAAAAATATGATTATATGTCATACATGGCAGAACGTCTTGACATGTGTTTTATATCTGTACAGTGAAACTCCGTAAGCCTGAATTCCATTTTTTTACGATTGCAGTTAAAGAAATAAATATTTACAAAGCACGTGTAAATTCGTAAATTATGATAAACAGTGCGATTTCACGAGCAACGAAAACGACCAGAGTAACGAGGAATCACGTTATGTGAAAGATTTACACGTTTACGTTGAATGGGTTCTTCCGCTGAGGGCCAGAGGTTGTTAATATGGTACAATGTAAAATCTTTAGAAAATATGTCTCTTGTAAAGGCAATGGTAACTAGTAGAATATTCATGCGCTTATGTTTTAGCGTTTAGATAAATGTTCAAATAAAGACTCTCAAGTGGGTCGATTTCATAACTTCAACAAAGAAAAACCAAATTGACAGAAATACACTTATGCAAATCACACATACAGCGTTGCTGTCGACGTAGGTTTGTTTTGCCCATAGACCTGATCAACATCCGGGGCTTGCTTTCCAGCACCACACACAAGCGTGCGAAGACCTCGTCATTGTCTTGTGTCTACTGCAGCCGAGTATTGACCGTAGCGTTGTCATGTTCAATAAACTGTTCAAATCAACTTGGGGGCTAATGAATACAAAGTATGTGACTAGTCATATAAAGTCAATATATACTCAAAGGCAAAAATAAGTGTTCATGTAGAAAGTTGTTATTTATTAGTACTTAACTGGAACTGTTTCTTTGAAGACGTAGTGTTCTGGTATTTCGTTGCCAAAAATGCTTTTGAATTGTTTGATAGGCATTACTTAGAAGTTGACGGATGACAAAGTAGAGACAATTTATGGAACACAACTTCTTTATTTACTGTAAAGGCGACGTCTCGGTATAGATCTGTATCGAAACGTCGTCTTTACAGTAAATAAAGAAGTTGTGTTCCATAAATTGTCTCCACTTTGTCAAACTACTTTTGATAATTAACAATATACAAAAATAAAAATTTGCCTATGAATTTAGAGATATGATTACAGTTATTTAGCCTGGGTGTATATAAAAACCGTATCGAACATATAAGACAACTGTTTACATCCCTTACTTGTACAAACAAGAAATGGTTATTCGATGGTGATCTCTGTGATCCGGGTATCGTTTTTGTGTTTTGTACCTAAAGTTAGCAGTGTTTCGGCGACTGTTTGTAGTCTGGTAACATGTTTATTACCGTTGTGACTTTTTAATC